AATAAACTTATGTAGGAAGGATCACGAAATGTTATGTGCTTACTTCTTGATCCAGAACAATATCAGGCCCAAACACAAAATTACACGTTATTCTGACAAAGTAGAAATTATTCCGATTGGCGTGTCTCAAGGATCCATTGCTCAGATTCCATCAGCTTTTGGGAGTTTGTATGCTAGTGATCCGTGATGCACACACTATTTTAGCACCGATAACGTAGTGTATCCAGAGTGACGTATTTTCTGTAGACTGTGCTCAGCTTTTCCCTAAATCATGCGACATGTATGTGTAATAGGCCTACGAGTGCAACTGAATAGTTTTAAAAGGAGCACTATTATGAGGATGAAAATATAGGCAAAAAATCCACGAAGAAACTGTCTGTTATGGAATTCAGTCTTTTCAACTTTACTTTAAGTTCATAACAATTTTGAAAAACGTTTTGACAGTTCACGAATTAACCAAATAGTTGGTTTACCTAAATTCAAGTTTTTCGAAGGCCAGCAGTGACATTTATTCAAAGATTTTTTGGAAAACGTGACCTTTTCGAAAAGTGTGTTTTGCGCCGGCAGACAAAGAAGTAGTATGTCTTCCAGATATCTCCTTCCCGACATTCTTAACCTATATACGTAGTTGTGTATGGGTTCCTTTCTGGACATGAATAGACTCTGTTTTTGATACAGCTGAATGAGATACAATAAATAGACTTAAACTTCTTTCCACCCATAGCAATTTTAGCCATTTCTTATAATAAGAAAAGAGTCGTAAGTGCTTGATGATTGGCTGATTGCAGTCAAAAGTACAAATGAAACAGAACGCTACGTCATCACGTATTTCTTCCTTTGTGGCTTCCATCGTTATTGACCTCTATGTTCCATATCCGAGAAACTGGCACGTGTTTCACAAAGATTTCAGGTCACGGAAAATCATACTGGACGGATACTGTATACATGTTGCTCCGTGCGGAAAATCCATCAAAAAGACCTTTAAACGAAAAGGAGTAACTAGCTGAATGTTCCGAAAAGTTTGATATGCAACAAATAGTATAAAAAGTAAACAACGATGGAAGACGATCACTCCCAAAAATCGAGCATTATCGGCACGCCACTCAAAACCATTTGATATTTGGATCAGTGTTTTTATCTGAGTGGTTCTTGGCTGATTAGGAAATCGTGTTGTTAGTGGATCCTAGGGCTTCTAATTGATTGACACCAAATGGTAAAATATAACCTTGACCTGCAACTGCCAAGCATTTTATCCAAACCAGAGAATAATGGCCGTATGCACAGTCATAAAATATCGTCATCCGAGAGCAACGTTTATCGGTAGAATTCCTTTGGGTTTTCCGTGGTTTCCCCTGACCACTCATGATTCTGGAACCTGTACGCCTTGCTTTCGCCATCTAAAACCCCGTTGTCGGGCAAAGGTACACTCTGGTTTATGCTCCTGAAAGTTCATAAACAAAGACCAACAAGGTACAGAACCAGTGGAAATACTGCNATTTTTAGTGCAGATCCTTCAGCGATGAAGTCGATGGTTACATCTATTTTGCGGCTTTTTTCAATCTCATGTACGGAGTAGATAAAAGCATGATAGATTTTTAGACATTTTCGAATAATTAGGTTTGTTTAAAGGAGAATCGTCGGCCGTGTGGCTCAGGGTTAAGGGTTTGAACTCCTAACCCGAAGAAACAGGATGAAACGGCTTCCCAGTGCTCTTTTAGGCTTATCACAAATATTTACATCGGACACAGAGGAATAATTCAGTTTTCGAACCTTAACAACGATATTACCATCATTTCTTGACAAATTATGTTTCCAGGAGCTACTGTGACACGATGATACGCCCCAGTGGGATAGTATCAATTTCATGTGGTAGTGTTAGTCAAACTTCAACGTGAAAACTATCACGTTTTGACTTAGTGCCTACTAATTAAATCAAGACAAACAGTTTTCTCATCGGATGCGCAACATTTACAAAATCTTCATCACGTTTAGAAGTTGGACATGTGTCGGTATATTGATTCATCATTTACGGGCCATTTATCGGACAACGTAACTTCGATTTACCATCCGCCTGCTTTGTCCATAGAAATGCTATCACACAGGTTAAAAGGCTGTTGTTAGTTTCATTTCCCTGACAAAGATGTCCTTTTCCTTCTCACTCAGATTGAAGATTTCGTCATTTCAAAAAGCGTTCAGAAGTAACGAATATCTTCTGGTGACCAATTCGTGTAAACATTTATACTACCTGTGTGCCAAAGTTTTCGTTGGACCAGAAGAAGAAGATACACACACAAGCAGAAACTATAACAATTGAACTCTGTCTGAACTTTGGACAATGTATTTTGCCTGCAGTGCCGAGCCAGAATACTCAATATACAGGTCTAATCAAAACAATCGGCCAGTACCGTATTTTGCGATGGCATTTGATGTAACGTTACTCGTCTTCTGATGCAATGTGTAAGTTGTTTTTGCTACAAAATAAACATAGTAACTCACGCAGGTGTGGAAATCGGTATATTTCAACAATGATTGCTTAAGTATCAGGTTCTATCCGAGAATCGGATAACAGTTCATCTCTTAGACCATTTCACAACGTCCTAATGGTAGTGGTAATTGAAAATGATCACGAAATGGGAATATATCTGACTCTGTTTACAATCAACTTCATTTGTTAAACAAAAGGCTTCTATTGGACTTTAATTATACTGTTGTTCAGGAGAGCATTTGACACTGTTATAAGTTCGGTGTTGAAAACTTGTAAAAGTGAAAACTGAGGCACTATTCCGCTTTCTGTTTCACACTCGATGAGGCAAATCAACCGTGGACCTTCTCCACGATGCGTCAGACGACGATATGAAAAACGGTTTCTCAGTGGTCAACTGAAAATAGTCCAGGAAATACAAGAGCAAAACTGGTTCTAACATTCTGAAGCATGTTGCAATTTACGTCTGATTTTAACTTGGATATTTCGTACCGAAGTGCACTGTGAGAGGGATTTTTACCCTGTTTCTTTGCTACATTAAAACAAACGTGAGCATAATCAGTGCCAATAGGTGGTATTTTATGAAACCACTTAGACGAGAAAGCTAACCGCTTAGTCTGGAAACCTCTATTGGTTGACTTAGATTAAGAGAGTGGAATCTTTTGAAAAGGTCAATTTGGATTCATTTAAAACCTTGTCCCCTTTTGAAATGATCAAATTTTATTGTTAAAGTTGTTAGTGTTGAACGAAGGATAAAGGTTGAATGCGCGTGACTCAGCGACTCACTGTTGTTCTTGTCGTCGTCGTTGTAATTTGTTTAGGAAGTGCGTGGTTTTCTCCCCCGGTTGGTTGGAAACCAGCCCGTTGCGGTAAAATATTCACCAATCGTAAACCTCGCTCCGTTGGATAGGTTGAACTGTGAGGAGTATAAAATGACTGACTGTCTGCATCCGTATGTCAACGTTAATAAATCATCATTGTAAAGTGTTACTGATAAACTCCAGTGGCATCAACTGCGTGTCACTGGAATCAGTGAATTTGACGATACATCTATGTGAATATCATTTTAAATCTTCGCGTATACAATAAGTGAGTGACCTCTGCGATTTATGTTCCATCCTATGCGTTTTAAATGATTTTAATCTGTTTTAATTTGGATTTACTGTTTCTCCAGCAAACGTAAATAGTTACATGGTTACTATAAAAATGCAAACGTGTTCTGTTAATCTCACTAGTATTATATTAATGAGTGAATATGTTTTCCCGTGTGCTCATTATCAGTCTTACGCTCTCGTTGCTCATATATCACACCCATCCAATACTCTCATTTCAAGATAGTCTGATGATGCTAATGTGAACTGTTCCGGAGTATTCTAGTTTTTATTCAAATTTCAAACAAAGTTAACGTCGGTAAGGAACACTTGAAATAGAAAAGATGTAGACGATCTCCTCTAATAATCATCCCATAAAGATGCTTGTGAAATTCGCTGTGAAACTTGTAAGTAAGAATGTTTCGGGAATAGAAATGGCCATGAAAAAATCACCTAAATTACATTCAGGTCTTTCATTTATGATAAAATTCAGGAGAAGAATTTTCATATTTTTCACCTCACTCCATGACCGATATTCTTACGTAATGTGTATAGTTGAAACATGCATTTACCTGCAAATGTATGCAGATGACGTTAGAAAAACAAGTAATTTCGCACTGAGCCGATGCAATGGGTTACAATGGGGAACTTTCCGTGGATTTTTAATTTCTTCATCCACTACAGAAGAGTGCAAGAAAACAATTATCATCTAGTTACGTGTTCCCAAATACGATTGCCATTAAAATGCCAATATTTTTATAAACGAGTTTAAAGGGAACACAGAATGCTTTTAAAAATCCTGGTAGTTATAATTTTGAAATCTGTGGAGGATATATTTTACAGCCTCCCCCCCCCTATTCGTTGTTGATCATTGAGGGTCTAAATACCTTCGGTGATGCACATCTCACATTGTACAATTTTGACCGTCAAAGAACCTTGCAATCGGTTTGATTCAAGGCCTTTTCTTTTCACTAAAAATGAGCACAATGTGTTTATTCGGTCAAACTGAACCCCGTCAGTTTGTCCATTCCAGGTTATTAATGTCACCATAAGTGAGGCAAATTTGAAAGGCATAAGACCATACAGTGGATATGCAGATTTTGCTTCATTTTTAAAAGTGCTTCATCACAAAAAGCTCACGATAAAAGCAACCCATCATTGTGATCACATGTTAGAGTAGTCTGACAATCAGGATATCCGACTGTATTGTTTGGACGAAATGGGCATTTATTTCTCGGCGCCATTGAATACCACTAAATTAAGAATTAATGTTATAACAATTTTTCATTCACATTCGACCCCTTTTATTGTCAACTTCTAAATGTATTGAATTAAAAATGAGTACCCACATCAACTACTTAAAAATGGTTTAGCATTCTCGAGGAGATCACACGGAATGATGTTGCCTTTCGCTGTGGCAATTTTAAATGGTGTTGCACTCAGCTTACAGTCTGCATGTGGTAAGCACAATCTTCCGCTGACGTCTTTTATCGTCGCTTGTCAAAGCGGAAAACCGGCCATTATTCTTCGAACGCGCTCGAAAACAGTGAGTTTTAAATTATTCCACAAGGTGCTGGTTTACTCTGTGTGTTTGTCAGCTTGTACTTGGACAAGGTCCGCCGGTAAGCGTTGCGGAAGTATGACAAATGAGTTCACTTAGGGACACCGGAATCAGAACATGGCAATCTAAAATATCGTACTGACAACGTGAAGCAGCAGAGGTTGAAAACACTTCCCAGATTTAACAACGTGATTCCGTTTCGTAAGCTCTCAGCTGGATTTCATCTGAACCGCTTTTGTCCATATATTTTCTCTATTTGTTCTCTGTTACAAATAGCCTCAGATCTTGTTGAACCTCTGTTAACGAATTTAAAATTATCGATTTGAAATACAGATTTACTCGATTAAACTGCAGTTTGATTAAGTTTCTTGTCAGAATGTATTTTTCGTTCTTAGGTAATTTACTTAATCGTGAACTTCGAGTCACAACCGTATAGGTGTATCATTATCATATGTAATACAGACATTTTGGAATTGCGAAGTGTACCGCAACTAAAAACCTTCTTGTAGACTTAAGTTTCTTGAGTTTCAAGCAAACGTTTAATTTCAACATGCAAATTAACTTACAACAATAAAATATGTATTCCACGATCTATGAAATTTTAAACATATTACATCAACCCACAAGTCAGATCATTTACTCGAACAGACCATGGAGAGCATGCAACCATTACCAACGTCTTTTCCTGTGGTTGGTTAGAAACAGATGTAGAAAAATCTTAGAGCATTCGTTAATCTTTCATAATGAGACCATTTACAGCAATCTACATTGTCCGTTAAAAAGTACTACGCCGCTATATATGGCATGGGAGATAACGAATGCTCGATTTGTGGGACGCTAAATTAAATAATGGATTCCTCCTTTTATATAGTGTTTTATATAGTGTTTCCTAAGTTTTGTACTTCATGCTCCATTTGCTCTTTGCACAACGAAATTCACTAAATAAACTGATCAAATCCACAAATACCATGTTTATATTAATTTATTTTATTAAAACTGAAATTATCAATTCTAATTTGTTTTCTGTCTGGAAGAGATGCCTAACAGGCTCACCTTCAAATGAATTTGAAATGAGTTCATTGTTTCTTTTCATTCGGCATATTCCATCTAGTGAAATGAGTATTTAGTTAAGCACAACACTGTTTTGGATGGATTGCGTAAGTAGCTTTGAACCTAAGGTCTGCAGTTCACCGTACGTAGACGTCAAATCTGCTAAATACAATCAAATTATAATTAGGAGGCATTTTAAACTTTCTTCACCTCAATATCACTACATTTTTGACCACCGATGTCTGATTTCATGACATTTCTGTTGCATGTGCAATACACTCCACCGGTACAAAGGAGAACCGCAGTAATTCCATGAAATAATCTGTACGCAAACCGGTGCAAAATTACCTCCTTAGGAGAAAATCGGCTTATTTTGTAAGTCACGACCGGGGGAGGGGAATCTAGTCAACAAAATCTGAAATACTAATAACTTAAGAGCACAATTTAGTGCCCGTAATCAACCCAACTATTTGAGTCACGAATCCCCCTATATGATATGACGAAAACGTTGATCTCCGCAAACCATCAAAAGCGTTGAGGTTTTGATTTGGATTAGAACCAGAATATTGGGATATACCCATAGTCAAAATGCTAGAAATTATCAAACTTGGCAATGAAGTGAAGCGCTTTATGTGTTATCGAAATTTATCAATGTGTCTCAAATGATCCAGCAGTATAGAATCAAAGAAATCAAGTGATGAGGATCATGCGCTCTTTGTAGCTTCTAGCAACGTAGTGCGAATGTCAAACCGCTCGTGTTGACGATGGGAAAAGGTGTCTGATAAGGACAATGCAATACGCTCGCAGTCTGACCTTTGAATGGAGCAAAGCAAATTTAGTCCATTCTGTTTTATTGTCTAAAGCGATTTTGAACGTGATGGACGAAGAGTAAAATAAATATTCAATATGTTGCAACATTTGTCTAATTAACGGATTAACGTTCAATATTTAATTATTTTAAAAACTTCTTCATACAATATACGTGACGTATATTCCGTATATTCCGCACCTAACCGCTCAGCATTTTTGATTGTGATCACAAAACACCAAGTTGGTTAAAATCAATATGCCTTGATCAGATCATGTTTGGAAGACGAAATCTTGATTAAATTGTCATAGAATCTGGATTGAACGTGAGTGGCAGCTGGACTCGAAATACACGTACCAGTCCCAGATTGAGAATTTTTCTATTTGGAAATCTCAGTCAATCTGAATTTTCTACTAATTTTGGCACTTAATTAAAGATCAAGCAAATTAGATAAAGCACTATTTCAGAGCAATTCCAGTCACATCCATATCTAATTTATCAATTCTGACCGACAGCCTTGTTATATAATTTCGGTTTTTGTTTGTATACAAAATGACACTGAAAATAATGCGAAGAACTAGAAGGCTTGTCCAACCGTTGATCAGGATTTTTAAACTGTTTAGCGCAACTAATGTTTGCTAGATACCATATGCAGTACCTACGTATTACCAAATGTGACGAACCGATTAAAGTCTCACTAGCTGGGTAAACCCGACCACGAGATAATCTGGTGAATGGCTATCTAAGTCTTCGGTAGCAGATCATAACCTTGCAAACAAATAATAGACTAGACTAGCAGCACATAAATATTTGAAACGTCAACAAAGTGGACGAAAATTTCTACTGAATGTATATCAGCTCCATGAAACAAACAATTTGAGCAAAATATTATCCCTATACCCGTTCCATAATTTTAAAAAACCATTGAGTATTCAAATTCTTCTCCTATTTTGAGACTGCATATTTTGAAAAGTGGCGCAACCAGATATCTCTTATGCTCATTGCTTTCATAAACAATTATCAAACCATAAACATAAATTAGCCCGACACAATAAGACACGGAATTTTCAGAACAACCATTGTATGAGTTCACAACGAATTCATCGGTGACCTACAAAATTCAAATTAAAACGAATAAATGTAAAGCAAACGTTGTTTTACGCCCAATTAAGTTCGGTTTACAACACCGACCATATATAAACAAATAAAGGGTTTTCTGGTCGTATTTGCTTTTGTTTTACTCCACGGGAACCTGGAGATATAAAACTGCTTGGAACACTTTACCAATGTTTCACACCTCCCGGTTAACTATACTGTTCATTTTAAACAAATTACGTCAATGTGTGCCTAAATTTCATTGAATTTCATCACATCACGCAATTAACGCTTTTGCTCTGCTGTACATAATGTTATCACCCACCACCGCAAATTTACGCATGATCTATTCTTGATGCCCATGGGAAAAATATGCACACCTACCTAGTGGAGCTATATGGTTCATCCAATAAGATCTCATCATTTAAAATGCCAGTGGTGTCCAATTGTCCTCAGATCGATCACAGAAATGGATCTCCGATTGTCTGCTTTGCCGAAATCTCCAGCTTAGAGCGACTTCATTTGGCAAGAGTAGTCAGTCGATTGCCATTCGCTAACAAAAAAACTCATGTTAAATTGACTTAACTTTGCTGAGAGTTGTCCACTGCTATTCCTCTTCATTAAGACTCGGTTTTTGCTTTTAGCCACTTTTATAATGCAAATGTAGTTCTGTCAACAGTATGCATACGATCAGACAAAAGGCAATGACAGGAGAACAAGATTTGCTGTTGAGTAATTTTGTACTTTTGCTAAGCAGTATGTTTTATCACAGCAACATAACCGGTACTTAAAATTCCCCGAATAATCGTTTTTGGGCTCGCCGGTAATCATGCTACAGTTACACATTAAAGTGATTGGGCACTAAACACCAAAATATAGCAAATTCTATCGGTCCAAAGAACGCCTCTACAAAAATGGCTATACGTCAAAGTAATTACTATAAATGATAACTATCATTGAAAATAGCATGTGTGATACCCAACGGCTAAAGCTGAACCGTTGTCATAAGAGCTCATTGTCAGCGCTTTAGTTATCCTTCTGGACTTGAACCTCTGAACGACCTGGGTGGTATCACTTGGTTACGTGAAAACAATTTTCTGTGTGATGCCGACGAGTCCCATAACGCCAAAAATTGCCGTTCATTCATAGTATCCGTTCATCACATGTCAAATTAAAAGGCATTTTTATAATAATCTATTAAAGTTGGAATTCTCTTACTTTGAATACATCAGACAGAACCGATATTTGTGGGAAAAGTACCAAGAAAAATCTCAAATAAATTAGTAAAACACCTAAAAAAATTAATCACTTGGGGAAAGAGTAAGAGACAGGGCTTTTCAGAACAGGCTTTGTACAAATCCAAAATGATCTCACATAGGAAATATGACTTTTTAACTCGAACAATAAAATATAAATAAAACGAGGTTTTACCTCTAATTAAGTTCTGTATACAACGTTCACCATATACAAACCAAAATATGGTTCGTTTAGTGAAAATTTGTCTGGTGATAACTAAGGATATCAAAATCTTTTTTGATTGCATGAAACCTTTCATTTGAAAGAATTCTATATATTATTTCAGATAAATGATTCATCTGTCGGCATGGTCCGTAAACGTCCAACTGAAGATTGGTTCGAAGACAGAAAACCCGTGAACGGTGATGCTTCAAACCAGCCAGTATTTCTACTCTCTGTCAACGATATTGAAAACAATCATGCTGAGGATCCTTTGAACCCTTCCGAGAACAACACAGCGAATCAAGAAATCACGAAACTCGAGGCTGTAAAACCACGAGTTGAAACCGCAGAGGGTGAAAGCCCAGCGGCGTATGAAAATTACTCCTTTCCCAACAATC